TCCCAAGAGACATTCTATGGGAGACAAAGTGGTCTCTAAAAATGGCAGCTAAGCCTGAATTTTGGTCAAGCCAAGTTTCAGCCATGAACATAAGATCAAGATTATGAGAACAAATAAAATTATTGATTAAAAAAGACTTGTTACAAAGAGATCTGACATTAAGCGTAGCAAGTTTCAAAGTTTCAGTATCAGCGGTTGCGGTCGGCTGATTCTTACACAGAACAAGAATTAGATTTTCCAGATTAGACTGATTAACTCCAGATGTTTTTCTGTAATGTATTCTTTGTGTTATCACTAAGGGAATGGCACAGGTGGCTTCATGACAGGGCCCCAGCCGGGTCTCTCCTCTAACTAGACTGCCAGTGGCTGCGAAGCAGAGACCCTGTGCATCCTAGTGTTTAGAGAAAAGAGGGGAAGGGGAAGGCAGGGGAGGAGGATGGAGAGGTGGGTGGCTTTTGGGTGTTGAACGAGGGGGGCAGGGAGGTGGAGGGGTTTTAGGTGATGGGTTAGGGCCGGGGTGGGCTGAGGCAGAGGTTTTGGATGTTGAACGAGGGGGAAGTGGGGGTGGAATGGTCATGAGGTTAGGGGAGGGACTGGCTGAGGTGGTTTTTGTAGGTGAATTGGAAACCCTAGGTGGTTTTGGAGGTACATATGGGGAGTGGTTTAGCATGTTGGACAGGACTCTAGATCGAGCTAATATGGGTGTGAGAGGAATAGTCTTCATGGCCGATTTTATTAGCCCTGCAGGGTGTTCAGGTAGGTCTAACAGTGAAGGCGGGGATGAAAAACAAAGGGAGGTGTCCCCATTCTCTCTTGATGGAGTGGACGTGGCAGGGGGGACCCAAGACAGGTCCATGGGAGGTGGCGAGGGAGTCTTTGATGGAGGGGCAGGTGGTTGAGGAAACCCCAGCACAGGCCTGTCTGCTGTAGGCTGGGGTGAGGATGGGGGCTTCTGAGGCGCTGTAGATGAAGAAGGCGTGGCTGCTTTGGAGCAGGCTGGGGATGAGGATGTTGGTGGTGGTGGTCGTGCTGCTGGTGCTGCTACTGGTGATGATGCAGCTGCTGCTGGTGATGATGCAGCTGCTGCTGGTGATGATGCAGCTGCATCTGATGACAGTGGAGGTGTTGAGATCCTTTGAGACGGTGATGGTGTTGAGATCCTTCGAGGTGGTGGTGGTGTTGAGATCCTTCGAGGTGGTGGTGGTGTTGAGATCCTTCGAGGTGGTGGTGGTGTTGAGATCCTTCGAGGCGGTGATGGTGTTGAGATCCTTCGAGGTGGTGGAGGTGTTGAGATCCTTCGAGGTGGTGGTGGTGTTGAGATCCTTCGAGGTGGTGGAGGTGCAGAGACTTTTGGAGTTGGCTTCCTCCCTTTCGATGGCTGCACGCGCTGCGCAGGCTGAGGTCTCAGGGCAAAAGAAAGGTTATCCATCAACACTTTTACTCCGTAAGTGTTCAGATGTGGCCCTTTCCCTTCAAAAAGCTCATGCCTATTCCAGAACAGATTAAAATTCTCAATGAAGGCAAGTCCTCTGCGTGAACATTCGTTGAGTAGGAAAGTATTTAGCTGATACAGACGACTGAATTTCATTTGCTTCCCGTCCACATTTGGTAGTGGGCCACTGATAACGATTGTTGTGTCCATTTTAGCAAGGTCGTCCAATAAGAGAGAATAATCCCGTTTCAACTTTTCACTTGTGTTGTCATAGACGTCTACTGCCCCCACGTGGATCAACAATCTTTTTACCCCGCCGGTCTCAGACAGAAGCCTTGGAGCCAACAGCCTTATCTCATCCACTTTGGCAGAGTGTACTGAGTGAACCTTGAGATTACGCATATTTACATTTCTCATCGCCGAATCCCCGATAAAGAGCGACTCAGCTGCATTTGACCTTGACTGAGACTGAGACTGGGACTGAGAGACTACTGCTGATTCATCTTCCAAAAGTGGTGAAAAGCGGTTTCTTGTAATTCAAGATTTTTGCTGTGGCATTATGACACTCTTGTTATCATTAGCTTTGCCTTGTTTGGGCTTGGCACCATATGTGTTCCAACAATTGTCTCTGTTGATTTTGGGAAATGAAATAGCGTCATCATAACTTACGTGCTGTCCATTTGGTCCATTTCCTTTCACTGGTATTGTTGTGTTCAGCCCCAATTCTGATTCAAGCACAAACATTCGGTCTTGAAGAAGTTTTAGCTCCTGTTTGAGTGAAAAACAGCCGTCGCAAAGTTTTGTTCTTTTTTCCCGTCCTCCCGACATGCTGTAAGTTAGGTAAATTCCACAAGTCTTGTGTTGAAGTTTGTAAAAAGGAGTAATCCGTGTTTTGTGGAATAAAAATGTAAGCAAAAATGATTAAAGGAGATAAAAAAGCAGCAAGCGAGGAGCAGCAAGAGAATGCGACTGCTCTGTCCAGAGCTGAATCAATTGTTCAACTCCAGGGTCTAGGTCATGTGAAATTGAACTAATTGAAATTGGCCCATTAGCGCCCCTACAGACTATGTCAAATTTTACATGGGAACCAAACCAACTGATCATATTAATAAATTTCACAACAGTGTTCAATGGCTACAGGACAAATCATGGCACGGTGCGCCTCCTTTGCGCCTGCGGCGCGGTACGGTGTTGTGCGGTGCAGTGGCGGCGTGTAGGTGCGGCTTGTTTGCGGGGGGCCCGGCGTGGTGCGAGGCCGGCGTGGTGCAGGCACGTGGGGGGTTGGGGGGGGGGCGAGGCGACGTGGTTGCGAGGCGCGTGGAGCGAGGTGGTAAAAAAACCCCTGACCGCGCGGTGCGTGGAGTTCACAGGGGGCGGCAAGGGCCGTTCGACGCCGCTTGCTGCTTTAATTCTCATTGTTTTGCTGCCACAAATGCCGCCGTAACTCTCTGAATGATTCCATGCCTGAGGTGGGAGATTAAATTGAAGTATTGAAGGAAAGAAGTCATTGGTTCCGCCTCGCAAACTGACACTTTGCAGTCATTGCAAGTGCAAGTTTAATGTCCGAAGGGACATTGAAAATAATTCCAAACCACAAACATTATGTTGAGACAGAGCGAGTTGTGACTGCAGACCGTGCCACGCTAGTTTTTGTATGCTTCAAGACGCAGCTTGATTGAGTCATCATCTGTGCGCCCGGTAACGCTTCAGGATCACAGGTTGTAAACGCAAGCTTAATCAAATCGTTTTAAGGGCATAAAAGATCCGATACCGATAATACATTTTTTATGCAAATATTGGGCCGATAATATCGGCCATCTCTAAGTGTCAATCAATTCAATGTTTTAAAATTCAGTGTCACAAAAATTCATTGTGTTAAATTCAGTGCAAAAATATTCAATGTTTTTTAAAATTCAGTGTCAAAATATGCAATATTTAAATTTCAGTGTCCAAAAATTCAATGTTGAAAAAAATTCAGTGTCCCAAAAAAATTTTCCGGTAGGATAACACCTGTGCGATGCTCTGTTTCCAGTTAACTTAGGCACAGTGAAGAGTCTTGGTTTGGTCCTGTCAAATGGCTCAAGCAAAACAGTTTTTCTAGATGTCTCCCTGTTCTGACCGGGATTCGAACCCAGAAACCTTCTTGCTGAAGGCGAGAGTGCTATGCACTCAGCCACCGTGCCGGCCCAACAACCTCCTGTTGGCCCTGGTGCTGTTTTGTATTGGAATATGATTGTAGAGGATCATATGAAATAGGTTTGTTTGTAATACCATTTTAATATGTTTGTACAGTTGTACCTTAGATGGTATATAATTGATTCCATGGATCTGTATTAATTATAATGGTGTGCAAACTGAGTTATAGTTTCATATGTTTCTTCAGCCTTTAGGCATTGCTATTGCATAGCTCTCGAAGCACCCTTCACCGCCCTCAGAAGATCAAACGATCCACCGCTCCAATCACCATGACGTCCTGGCGTAGGTCATTGCCCTATAAATAGGGCCACAGCTCTTCTCTTTTCTCTCATCAGCTTGCCTAAGGAGAAGCTTCGATTCATTGCTAGGATTTTCTTCAAGCAAGATCGCCGCGACCTGAAGATTGTCGCCCTCCGTTCAAGGCTGCGGAGCTGCGCGTCTCTTGCCCTCGGCACTCTCCCAGGCTGACCGCCACGAGTACTGTGTTTTTCTTCTGCCGTGCTGGCGTCATGCCGCTGAGGAAAGCCCCACTTGTGTGGCCTTGCCTCGCGCTCCCCTGGGAGGAGCGTGACAGACTGCGGCGGTTTTACCTCATAGCGCCGCCTTTATGATGCCTACGGTGGCTTCGCTCATGGTGTTTGTGCCACCCTCCGCCCTCGCTGCTGCTTCGCATGCTTCTTTGGAGATGTCAGTCCCGGATCTGGACCAGGGTCCAACTCGATGAAGTGGATTTGGTGAAGGCCTGTGTGTAGAATTAAAATGTTGTATACTAAATGATCAAGTAGGTGTTTTGCATAAAATGTGTTTGTGCAATAGTAAGCCTGATGTTAGTGATTCAGAGAAGCACCAAGGAAAGGCTCTGTGATAAAAGTATCATTTCCATGAACCAGCGTGTCTCTCTTATCGAACAATGGAAGCCTGAGACAAAAAACTGACTAGGGCCAGACCGGACCAGACATCATCTGCCTCAGAAAAAAAAACATATGAAGTCAACGTAACATTTTGATATAACTGTTGGTAGGCAACATTTTGTTAGCAAACTGACAGGGATAGATAGACAGAGAGCATCCGCAGAACAGGAGCGCCTGGATTTCCTAGAAATTTTCATGCCTGGAAGGGACAGTTAAAATGGCTCAGCATAGAGGTTAGCTTAAGGGAAATTATAGCTCCAAGAGTTTTGTAACAATATTTAATTGTAAAGATAAAAAATGTTCTTTCTGCTTGGTCCTGTATCAAATTCCGGACACGTCAGTCATATTTTTTGACAATACCATGCATGAGAGCCCAGTGTGGGAGTGGGAGGACTAAGCTCTCCCGTGAGCGCTATCGGCCCTGGATCGTTATCCCGCATCTGACCCGCAATGGCTGGTGGTCAGGATTCTTTGGCGATGCCGTCCAGACCCGCCCGCTCAGTGGACGATTTGCGTCCCTCGCTCCCTCCGCCCGGCAGCACTGACGTGAGGATGGTCGCTCCGCAGAATGAGGCCTCCTGCTGCACTATGCCCAGCCGAGAGTGGAGAGGGCGCCCGCTACCAGCAAAGCCAAAAGCGCACCTGCCCTCACCTGCCACCCGGAAAAAGCCCAGGTGCTCAGCCCTCTTCCCAGGGGCCCCCCCACTATCCAGAGCAATAAGCGGGACAGCTAAGGCCCCCCCCGCAGTCCAACAGTGTTGGGAAGCCGTGGCTCGGCTCCACGCAGTGCGCAGCGCACCTCCCTCACTCGGCTGCCAGACCCCGAAAAAGGCACAGGCCGCTGCTAGGATCAGACCTTTTCTGAGGGGCCCCCCTCCCACTATCCTATGCCTCCCCCCAGGAGGGACCAGCTGAGGCCATTGTGGACCTGCGTGTCCTCAAATGAATGCATAGCCAAGCAAACCGTTTCGCATGCTCACAGTCAAACCGCCACGGCTGAGCGTCAGGCCCCGGGACTGGATGTCCTCCGTGGACCTCAGTGACGCGTATTTCCTCATACCCATATGCGCGGGGCAACAGAAGTCTTCCTCAGTTTTCTGTGGGGGGGTGCTTCAAGTATTGTTGTCTCCCGTTCGGCTAATCCCAAAGCCCCGCACCCTTCTCCAAGTTTGTGGAAGGCGGCGCTAGAACCCCGTCGGCGCAGGGCCTCAGTATACTGACGTATGTCGAACGACTGCTGATCCTGGCCACACTTGGGATGAGGGCGCAGGATCACTAAAACGTCCAGAGTGGTTGAACCATGTTGCCTCACCTAGGTTTGTGATCGAATATGGCACAAAAGCTCCTTGTGCTTGGCCCAGGAGATCTCGTATTTGGGATGGTCTTGGATTCCAGAGCAAAACGGCTTCACTCTCGCTGGATCGTTCTGGGCGACAATCAGGGTCCAACCCGGCTGATCCGGTAACGTCTTGGGCATGATGGCGCGGCCCCCATCCAGTGGTGAACTGGGGTTGCTGCACTGTGAAATCTCCAGATGTGGTTCTCAACACCTCAGGGCTTTTTCACGGAGGTCGTACTGTCGGTGAGGCTCAGAACGACGTCGCTTTCTGGCTGGTCCCAAGGTTGACTCCAGGAGGGATTTGAATGGGTTCTGGTGACCACCACATCGAGGTCTTCATACACGGACAGCCTCACTGAGCGGGTTAGGGGAGGCGTGCTCGGATCGTAGGAAGGCGTTGTCCTCCCCCTTGGGGCAACATCACCACCTGGATTGGAGGCGGTGCGGTTAGTTCTGTGCTCATTTCTGACCAGACCTAGAGGGCCAACCATGTGATAGTAGACTAAACTTTTTTGTGTGAAGATGGACATCGAGCGCCCCTCTAACGTGACTCTTTTTGATTTCGTGGGGGGGCTGCAGTTACTCCGAAACGGGAACATTAGAACTGCTGTGCCCGTGATCCTGATCGGCGTGTGCATTGCTGGAGCGCTGTGTAATCTCCTAGTTTTGCTAGTTTTCATCCGTGACTTCAGGAAAGGAAGAGGCTCCGAAGTGAAAGCGCTCCTTGCCTCTGTCGCATGCACAGACTTGCTCATCTTGCTGCTATGCGCTCCGGTGCGCGCTGTCACTTACTACAAGCAGATATGGACTTTAGGGAGCTTCGTTTGCAGGACCGCGGACTGGCTTCAGCACTCGTGCATAGTGGCCAAAACCCTGCTTTTAGCCGCGACCACAAGATCCAAACACACTTTCATGGAGATAGGAGGAGGGGATGACTTCCAAAGTGCCTCCTGGATCCACGGAGCGCTTGTGTTTATTTGGCTCGTCGCTATGTTGTTTTCACTCCCGCAGCTTCTGTTCGCTTCTCTTGTGCCGTACAGCCTGGACGAGGTCGTGTGCGTCTCAGAGATGTCGGTGTGTGCATCCGAGTTCATGCTCCTCTTCTACAAGATCTACCCCACTGCGGTGTTCGTGGTGCCCATCATCTTTACGCTCGCCTATCATACCAAGACGCTGCATGGTGCGGTCAATAACGCGCCAAATCCTCGCCACCAGAGCAAAGTTACACTCGTGTTGTTGTGTTTGAGTGGCGCACTGGGGCTCATGCTTTTACCGGAGTGGGGGACTTTCACCTGGATACGACTTGGCTTCAACAGACCACCAGTCGGGCTGTTAATCTTCGCCGATGTTTTGTTTTACACGTGTAGCGCTGTCTTCCCCGTGCTTCTCATGACAATGTATGACGACGTGCGCCAGGGACTTGTATTCCTGTGGTTCATCGTCACCTGCAGACCCAGAAAGCACCCGCCAACTACTGCCTGCACTATGTGCGTCAAACTGGATGGAAACAGCGCCGAGGCGTGCGCAAATGAAGTGGGCGCTCAAGCTAAAGACAAAACCTTCCCAGACGTGGAGCACTTTTGGACAGGACGCAGAAATACGCACGTAGAAGATGAGCACGATCCAGTGCCGTGGGAAAGAGACGAGAAGATGCTGCAGAGTGGAGAGCAAGTTATTCAAAGTGACTTGAAAAACGAGTGCCCATAATGTTGAAGACATCTGGATGTAAAGTGTGAAGAGGCGGGCAGTGTGATTCTCTAAAAACCTGCTGTATGTGAACTGGAACGTGACAAACAGTACAGTTAGTTCTAGGCTGATCCATAAACGGACAATGTCCCCTCATCCCTGTGAGTGGGAGTTCTTGACTGCCTATACTGTTTATTGTATAACTGCGTCAAAGTGGCTATAACTATGGAGTTTTGGTGGTTTAGTGCACTTGTTCTCATGAATATATTAAATGAAATGTACATTACCAACATAATCTTCCATAAGTATAATTACTGACTGTAAAAGGCATAAGACAATGAAATAATTCAACATTTCTCCCAAACCATGATAAATTATAGCCATAGTTTAACAGCTCTATCTACAACGTGATTATATTTGGATATGGACATTTGTATTGTTAATTGAAAGACTTTGCTGTCGTAAATAGATGTAACATATTTGTACACCTGTAAATGTAAATGCTTTCTTGTGTTTTTACCTTAACCATTCCTGTATTGTTTATAATGTTCATAATTAATGTTGTGATATTGTTGTGGACAATAAACCATTGTTCTTCATCAGTGCCCACTCTCTCTCTTTATCTCTGTTTAGTCTTTTTAAGCTGGTTAATGAGGGATGAGATACAGGGTGAACGCAGAAAATCTCTTTCCATCTAATTCAAGTGCAATGAATATTAAAATAAATGGCCCCAGTAATCCATGGTCTGTTTTAGGTCACTATAGTAATCATATTTGAGGCACAGGTTCATAAAGTATGCCAGCTTTATGGCTTTGTTTTTTTCATTACCAGACAGTGAACATCCATTCTGGAACAATTTTTCTTCATATGCATCATACAACTTCATTAAGCAAAATAAATATGGCAAAGTTGAAATGATGTATTTTAGGATGTCGAAAAGAAGGAAAGCAGCACTCATCATGGCTTCTCATACAAAATGCTTATAAAAAGGTTTTTTTTATGTATGAACAACATAAACCAATATTATACAGATGTGCATAGGAGGCTTGTAATCACATATGATCTAATCGAGAGTGGCTGCTGGACAGGGCATAGAATATTCTAGTTATAAAATAATGTAAACAGTAAGTGCTTCATGAGCTCCATGTCAATCTTCCTTTGTCTCTTACCCCCCTCCCCCACCACCCACCCATCCTGTCTTTTCTTCCTGTCAGTGTTTTCACTTCAGCTTCCTTTAAAAACCTCAGAATAAAACATTAATTGGGCTTAGTGCAGGTCTGCATTTTTTGTTAAATATTTCATTCAACTAAATATCCCTACAGCAAAATATGGAATCTAGAATCTGATCTAAAGAACAGAAACAAAATATTTTAAGTTTTTAATGTTGATATATAAATTCTCACCTTTCGCCCTCCGCGGGCAGTTATCCCTCTCTAAGCTCGGGTCCTCTACCAGAGGCCTGGGAGCTTGAGGGTTCTGCGCAGTATCTTTGCTGTTCCTAGCACTGCACATTTCTGGACCCAGATGTCCAAGGTTGTTCCAGGGATCCGCTGTAACCACTCCTCTAGCTTCGGGGTCACTGCCCCGAGTGCACAGATCACAACGGGCACTACTGTCACCTTTACCCTCCAGGCCCTCTCCAGCTCATCTCTGAGACCTTGGTATTTCTCAAGCTTTTCATGTTCTTTTTTCCGGATGTTACCATCGCTTGGAATTGCCACGTCCACCACCACGGCTGTCCTCTGCCCTTTGTCTACCACCACGATGTCAGGTTGGTTCGCCATTACCATTCGGTCGGTCTGTATCTGGAAGTCCCACAGGATCTTCGCACGCTCATTCTCCACCACCTTTGGAGGAGTTTCCCACTTAGACCTTGGAGTTTCCAGCCCATACTCTGCACAGATGTTTCTGTACACTATGCCAGCCACTTGGTTATGGCGTTCCATGTAGGCCTTCACTGCCAGCATCTTGCACCCTGCAGTTATGTGTTGGATCGTCTCAGGTGCCTCTTTGCACAACCGACACCTTGGGTCTTGTCTGGTGTGGTATATCTGGGCCTCTATCGCTCTGGTGCTCAGGGCCTGCTCCTGTGCAGCCATTATGAGTGCCTCTGTGCTGTCCTGTAGGCCAGCCCTTTCTAGCCATTGGTAGGACTTCTTGAGATCAGCCACTTCTGTTATGCTCCGGTGGTACATGCCGTGTAGGGGCTTGTTCTCCCATAATGGGCTCTCCTCCAGCACCTCCTCATCTCGCCACTGCCTGAGACATTCACTGAGTACGTCATCCGTTTTGGCCTTCTCCATGATGTAGTTATGGAGTTTGGATGTTTCGTCCTGGACAGTGGCTCTCACACTCACTAGTCCTCGGCCTCCTTCTTTACGGCTTACGTACAGTCTCAGGGTGCTGGATTTGGGATGGAACCCGCCATGCATGGTAAGGAGCTTTTGAGTTTCAACATCCGTGGCCTGAATCTCTTCCTTTGGCCACCTGATTATTCCTGCAGGGTATCTGATCACTGGCAGGGCGTAGCTGTTAATTGCCCGGGCCTTGTTCTTGCCATTGAGCCGGCTTCTTAGGACCTGCCTTACTCGCTGGAGGTATTTGGCAGTTGCCGCTTTCCTCGTCACCTGTTCGAGGTTGCCATTTGCCTGTGGTATACTGAGATACTTGTAACTGTCCTCAACGTCTGCTATTGTTCCCTCTGGGAGTGAGATCCCTTCTGTGTGGACTACCTTGCCTCTCCGAGTCACCATCCTGCTACATTTCTCGAGTCCGAATGACATCCCGATGTCATGGCTGTAGATCCTGGTTGTTTGGATCAGAGAGTCGATGTCTCTCTCGCTCTTGGCGTACAGCTTGATGTCACCCATGTAGAGGAGGTGACTGATCTTTGCTCCGTTACTGAGGCGGTATCCATAGCCAGTCTGGTCAATTACTTGGCTTAGAGGGTTGAGGCCTATGCAGAACAGTAATGGGGACAGAGCATCTCCTTGGTAGACACCACATTTGATGGTCACTTGTGCGAGCGGCTTGCCATTTGCCTCAAGGGTGGTCTTCCACATTCCCATCGAGTTTGCAACAAAGTCCCTTAGAGCCCTGTTGATATTGTACAACTTCAAGCATTCCATGATCCAAGTGTGTGGCATTGAGTCGTATATATAATATATATATATATATATATATATAATTTAAAATGAATAAAAATGTAAGATGTATACAGTATATATATATATATTTCAATTTAATAAGTGTTGGGCAACAGTTTCCACATAATTCTGTCATGTTGGATTAAATTAATAAAGTAAATTAAATGTAACAACGTTAAGGACTAAATTAAAAAATGGAAAAGGTTTCATGTTACTTAACTTAATTATTCAAATTTTATACTTTTTTTCCTACAGTGGGTGCCTGACAAACTCCACATGCAATGTATGCAAACTGTTATAATTCACTATATTCCCAGAAGGAAAACCTAACAAATGTGTTTTAATACTTTTAATAATTGCAATCAAATGCCCAGCAAGACTTAATGAATGATGACAGGTAATTAGATCTATGATTAAACACCACACGCACAAGTCGTGATGGTTTACTTAAGACAGAATAAAAATAGCCCAAGTATTGACATTTACTTATTGTACCCGGCCTTTCTCGCCCACGTACATAAACAACAAATAAAGAGGGTGTTTTGTCTTCTCTCCGCTCAGCTAGTCCCTAAAGGAGAGGCTGGTGCAGTGTTTTCAGAGGAAAGTCCATCTCTCTGGTGTTACTGTGTGGAGCATTGATTGGGTTCATTACAGGGATTGTGCCTGTGGTGGTGTCTGTCGATTGGCGTCCCGTGTCAGCTGGAGCGTGGACTGGTCACAGATGCTGTAAACAAGTTAGCTGTGTCAATCTTATGGCCACCACAGCCCACATAGGGATAGTCCAGTATTACTACTTTTTCTTTTCCATAGTGCTGTGGTTTTTTCCTTCTTTGTGCTTAGTCTGTAGGCTCAAAACCAGTGCTTTGGCTGGGCAAGGTTTGAACCCGAACTCCAGTTATTGGGATGACAACTTAGAGCTGTAACCAACAATTATTTTCTAACTGGGATTGTTCTTTTTATTAATCAATTAGTTATTTTAAATGTAGTTATGAGATTTCAATCAATTATTAGAAAGATAAAGCTTAAGTATAGCCGCATGAGGTAATCATATTATCAGGCACACTGTTTTTTCATCATGAATGATCATTTACACACTTCCTCTATGTAATTACAGAGCACATGTGTTTGAGCTGATGATTAATTGAGGAATAAAATAGTTGACAGTCAATGGAAAGTTGATGATTTGCAATTAATTGATTAATCATTATGGGCCTAAATTAACTCAATGCTAGCCTGGCAAGCAGACTACTCACTCCTGTCTATTCTAGACATTGTTCAGATGAAGAAAGTGATTGTGGCTTGCTAAGCTAACTCAATATCCAATTGTTACACAAAATGGCTTCCAAAGAATCAGTTTAATGTAGACTTGGTAGAAGTTGGCAAGACATTGAAAACTAAAAATCTCTGATGGATTGGCACCATGTTATCTGAATGTCAGAATGATAAAATTTTACAGACATTTTTTATTTTTATTTGTATTACTAATGTTTTCTCAGCTAGAGGGGAGATGCCAATGGGGACAAGGCCTAGGGCAGTATCATTCATAATGCATGGGTCAATAAAATACCCCCATATGTTCCATATGTTTCTCTGTAAATTTGTACTTGTGATAAAATGTGGGACAGTGAACCAGTAACCGCATGGACTAATTACAGCGATAACCGGAAGTGTACATACAGTGCCTTGCAAAAGTATTCGGCCCCTTGAACCTTTCAACATTTCACCACATTTCAGGCTTCAAACATAAAGATATAAAAAAATATTTTTTTGTCAAGAATCAACAAGTGGGACACAATCGTGAAATGGAACAAAATTTATTGGATAATTTAAACTTTTTTAACAAATAAAAAACTGAAAAGTGGGGCGTGCAATGTT